ATGTTTTGAAATGCTTTTTATTTTCATAAGAAAATTATTTTGCAATTTAATTATCACAATGACTGATTTGTGATAAGTTAATTAAAAAAAGGGACTATTTTAATAAATCTTAAGTCACACAAGACTTGTTTTGTAAGGTTTCCAATTAAGGGACTGATTTAAGTTTCAAGGCTATAATGGAGGGACTGTTTCTGCCAATCTGATACACAGTTTGGGTAAAAGGGAGTCGACGCCTCTTCTTCTCCATTCGTTCATCCGACCAAGCAAAAGGAACGGGAAAGCCAACAAATCAGAGCTGTGGAGAACGTAATCGGCGAGGAGGGTATTGGGGTCGATCTCCGGTGATCTCCAATTTCGATTAGGTCGTCTTCATCTCCTTTGTGTCCGATCGAAGAAGAAAAAGGTAATGAAAGCAAAAGAGTGGTTCGGTGGTGGCTGTTGTCAACAACAGTGGTGGCGAGGGAGTTGCTCCGGCGACTTCCTCATCGTTTCTTCATCTCTGGTCCGTTCGACAGCCACACACGAAGAAGGAAGAAGCAACTGTAGGGGTTTGTTTTGAGTTGTTTGATCGACAGGAAGAACGAGGGAGGAAGGGTGTGGGTTTCTCCGACGACGAATCATAGCAGCGATCAGTCTCCGGCGAGTCCTCGTGCTCCTTTCTCATCGCCGACCGCAGAAGTCAACGGAACAAAAGCAACAACCGTCGATGGTGGAGTGGTGTTTGGTGATTAGCTTGCTGCCGATCGGAAACCATTAGTTGGGGTGTTTAGGTGGTGCTAGACGACAGTGGAAGACAGAGAAGGAGGAGGAGGGCTGCCATGGCCGGCAGCTTACCAGGTTCCTTCTTCTTTTTCTTTTTGTTTGATCGATTGATAGAAGTCATTGGGGTGTTTGGGTTTTACTGGGAAACTGATGGTAACGAAGGGAATGGGTGTCTGGATTGGGTGTTTCATCAACCGGAGGGGGAGGTGACAACCGGTACTCACTAGCTTGCTTCATCCGGTGACAACCCCTCGCCGGTGAGCTGTTTTTGGTGATCGGGGAAGACAACAGTGATCAGCAACAGGTAAAGGGTGTTTGGACTTGCTAACCTCGACATTTGCAGGTGGAAGGAAACTGGATGAAAGGAGGGTAACAGCCTCCTTGGTTCTCTGTTTTGGCTTCAAAAGGAAGATCTAGAGAATGAGAGATCGAGAGTAGAGTGATATGTTGTTGATATTTTTTGATCTCTTTGTACTAAAATCAGATTTTATTAGATATGTATTGTATTTTAAAGATTTGGAGTAGATTTAGCAAGATTTTTATGAGATATTCAACATGTGCATGAACTCAAAAATTTTCTTGAGAGATAGAAGATACACACGGATAAACATGTGGGTATATGATTAAAATACACATCGCATAATACTTGGATATTTTTAATTATACACATTTTATACATAGATCATATGTTTATGAATAATATAATGATTTGGAAATTTAATGTATAATTATTTAAATTTAAACATCATTATAATTATGTTATTTATTTTTCCGTTCTTTTAATTCATTAACTAAATCAACTCAATTTACTAACGGTATTTCATACGTGTTCGTTGATAGTTTGGAACGTAATGATTCCAAAAACGCAGATAGATTTCAATTCCGGAATACCGAGCTCCGTGAATTAATGTTTAAAGTTTCGCGATGAATAGGATCGGACTCGACAACTCGAGAGACTGTTTAAGCAGTTTGTGATGTCCTAAAAGAAATTATAAATATAATATATTTAATATACATAATAAAGATAAAATTACACACAATTGGTCATTAATACATAGTGGTTCGTGGTGATTTGACCGCCGAACTCAGACCAATTTTTACCAATTGTTACACCTGGTCAGTTTGGAATGTTTCTTGGACCTATTGGAATAGGAACGTTATGATCTTTTTCCTTCCCTTTTAGCCATGCAAGTTATCTTGGTCATTTAGGCCATTTTGGTGTATTAAAGTTTGGATCTTGAATGATTAGGGCATTATTATGAATAAAGTTGGAAAATTTATTCCTATAGACATCTTGTATATTCAGATCTGGAAGCGGGAGACTTGGACTTAGTGGATTATGTTGATAAAGGTGCATTTTTGGGTCTCTTTGAGACATAAAGTCTAGATCTTGGTGGTTTGGACTTTCCTAATGGATAAAGTTAGAAATTTTATCCATTAAGACCTTCGAAAGAATCAGATCTGAGCTTTGGAGCTCTTCAAATCAGAAGAAAACGGATTAAGCTCGTTTGAGCTGTTCAGACTAGTCGCCACGGCATGGCCTTTGGCGGCCAAGGCGTGGCGACCGAGGAATCAACAACTGTTTTGGAATTTTATGCCAACGACGTGGCCAAGGAAGGCAACGTCGTGGAGGGCTATTGTTGGAAGTTTTTACCTAAACTTTGAGTGTTGACTTTTTGACCAGTTTGAGTTTTGGTTAAACTTGGGTAGAATTGATCATTTGACTAAGGATTGGTTTCAGTTTGGCTTTAGGGAGCTTCAGTTGGATGTTCTATTAATGAGGTAGCTGTGTGGGCATCTGTGAATAGTTCAGGTGAATCTTCTCATTGTACTTGTCGGCCAAAGGCACCAATGCCAACCCACTAGATTGTGTTATGTAGAATGCTAGTTGTCTTTGTGACTCTTGCATATATGATTGGGTTGAAATATACCCCAGGGTTGGGCCCATTATTGTATGTATGGGTTGAAATAGACCCCGAGGGTTGGGACCATTATTATACGTTTGGGTTGAAATAGACCCTAGGGATGGGCCCGTTATTGTATGTTTGGGTTAAAATAGACCCCGAGGTTGGGACCATTAGTGTATGTTTTGGTTGAAATAGACCCAGGACTGGGCCCATTATTGTATGTTTGGGTTGGAATAAACCCCAGGGCTGGCCCATGATTATATGTTGGATTGGAATATACCCCAGTGTTGGGCCCATTGATTAGTATGACATGTGGTATTTTGGGGAACTCACTAAGCTTTGTGCTTACGGTTTCGTGTTTAAATGTTTTCACGTACTTTTGGTTTCAAAAGGAATGGTCCGGCTTAATCGCACTACATTCCCTGAAGATTTATTCTGCAATGATTGTTTATGATTTTACTTTGATGTTTTGAGAATACTTTTACTTTGATCATCTTTTGGGATATTGAATGATGGTTTTGACTTATTTAAAATGAAAATTATACTCGGTAGTTTTGGGATGTTACAAAAAAATTGTTTAGTCATCCACTAAAATTTATAAACAACTACTAAGAAAAAAATATCTTATAGAAGCATATTTCATAGACAAAAACGTTTGATAAGAAAATAGATATTAATGTATTATATTTTATGAAACTTTCTAATATAACAGAAATAGTAAACTTATAAATGATTAAAGATACAAATATAAAATATAAATAACTTATAAATTATTATTTAGTTTTTTCGGATAGCGTTTATTATTTTATAAACCAAACCACAACAAATATGAAATGCAAAATAATAGTTCGGTGTAACGCTCGTGTTCGAGGTATTTTTTATAAAGGTTCATAATATAAAGATTATTTTATCAAAATTGGTCCCTACGTTGGGCGTACGTGATAGGTACACCGGGCGTAGGTCATTTAATGTGATCGTGGGTTCCCTCGAGTACGATGGGCGTACATGCTAGGTACACAGGGCGTACTCATGCAAGATTTGTCATTTGCGGATGAAATGGTTAACCATTGATCCATATAAAGCATAAGGCTGGAGGGAGTGGTGCCACATTTGTCATGGTCCACGTAAGCGTCATGTCAGATTTGTCATACTACAACAAAAACTTGTCACTTACATGGCACGGGTTACTACGCTTGTCATGTTACTTTTTTTTAAATATTTATTTTATATAAAGAAATCAATATAAATAAATTATGTTAATAAAAACTTAATTTCATTAAATTCAAAGAAAATCGCACACTTACACTTAAAAAACATAACACACTTGAGATAAAAACTTAAATTAAAAGACGAGTTTAAATTTGAGCAAATTTTGGGGACTGTCTCACAATTTGTCAAGACTCAACAAGTCGAAAATGTTTGTTAGTTTCAACACGGTAAACGTCAAGAGCATTCTCTAGCAAAGTATTTTCATTTTCACAATTTTCAGTTTCATGCATCACCCTACGATACACATTGTTAAACTGAATTGCAAGTGCATTTGTGTGCCTCCATTTGGAGTAGATTTCTTCTTGACCTCGTGGTACAAGGGCTTCGCAGTTGTATTTTTCGGTGACTCTTCTCCAAAAAGTTGTAGTAAGGAGGTTAATATGGATTGAGACTTCTGTTACGTCAACCCATGAACCCATGAATGAGTCAGTAACATTTCTTCTTCTGGGACCAAACACGAACCATGTGAACCATTAGCCATGAAGTTTTGAAGAAGATGGAAATTAAGAAAGTTAGGAGATTCGAATTAAGAAGATTTGAATGGGGTGAAGAATGAATAAGGATGATGATATTTATAATTGAAGATTAAGGGTTTAAAATTTAAAATTTTTAAAAATAATGGTTATATTTGTGAAATTGGGTATTTTTTTGAAAAAATGATATTTTTTGAATTTTTTTTGAATAAATTGTAGAAACAAAAGAAAAAGAAAATTGTTTATTTAATGATTCTCTCTAATCAGTAAAACTCCACCGAATTGTCGAGCCAAACTCGGCATACTGAAACTCGGCGGGATGTTAGGTCGCCACTCCCACCGCCTAAAAAGGCAGTCAAGTTTATGTACTTTTGAGGCACAAAAGTACAAAAACATCCAAAGCATATCATATATACAAAATACGTGGCTACAAGCTACTGGTCAATGATTAAAAAACTGTACATGTAGAGGCATCGATCCCACCAAATTCCACACCCATAAGTGTCCTCATGTGTCCAAATTATGTCGTCATTGCACACATTAAAATAACACCTGACGAGTCATCTGTCTATCCCATTAATCTGCACACATGGAAGTTTTACCGGAAGACTGCATAGCACACATCCTCTCCCGTGTGACACCTCAGGATGTGTGTCGGTTTACAATGGTGGCTTCCGCTATTAGAGATGCTGCAAAGTCACAGGTGTTGTGGGATAAGTTCTTGCCACCTGATTATCACCAAATCATATCGAGAAGTGTGTGTCCATTGACTTTCGAATCCAAAAAGGAACTCTTCTTTAAGCTTTCGGCTCCTATTCTCATTGACGGTGGCCTCAAGGTAATCACTCATTTATTATATTGGATTGCTCGGGCATTTTTTACAAGCCATATTTTGTGGACATATGCAATATTTTAATGATTAATTTACAATTTTTATCACTAAAGTTGTCATGAAAAACGTATGTAATCTTTCACAAAAATGACTTGTCGGATATTTATTACTAAAAATATTTTTTGGAAGTTCGTCCTTAAAATATCAAAAATTAAAATCTTTTTATTCTTATAAAATAATGAAATGTGTAATCCATTAATTCTTTCTCTTAATCTATTTTCTTGATTTTGACATTTGTCTTAATCTACTTGTTAGAAAGATTAGAAACAAAAGATAGAAGGATATTTGATTTCTCAATATTTTGTCGGAATTTGTCACTTAAATATCCCGTTGAAAATGTCACAAAATATTATATCGGTAAATTACCAATGGATAAATTTATTTGTATGTGTCACTGAATGTTGAATTTCATTCAGAAATATCTTTAATACACATATACATATAGTCTCTCTCTCTCTCTCTCTCTCTCTATATATATATATATATATATATATATATATATATATATATATATATATATATAGAGAGAGAGAGAGAGGGAGTGTGTGTGTGTGATCTCATAAGAAGGAAATGTTCGGTAGAAAGGGTAAGAAGTCCATCATTAACATGTTTTTCGGTAAATCCAGAAATAAATCGTTAGATGATGCAAAAATAATGTGATTTGTAAAAGAACTCGAAATAATACCAAAGATTCATTTTTACGATTACTCATTAAAGTTGTCTGGAAAATAAATCAAAATTTGATTAAGTAAAAAACTTAAATCATAGATGCATTTTTTTTGGGAATTTATTTTGTTAAACAAGTTATTTTGTATCATCTAATGATTCATTTTGTTTGTTCGCCAAAACACATGCAAATTATGACCTTCTTAGTTCTCACCCTTTCTAGAAAATATTTTCTTGATATTTGACATGGACTCTCTCATTGATTTTTCAATCAAACGCTCCAAAATTGTTTTTTATATTTCATATGATGCTGACACATACATAAGACACACACACACACTCCCCCTCTCTCTTTTGATATATATATATATATATATATATATATATATATATATATATATATATGTGTGTGTGTGTGTGTGTGCGCGTGTGCATACGTGTATGCATGTATGCATGTAGGTATGTATGTATGTATGTATGTATGTATGTGTCTTGGCTAGTCTCACAATCTTGAGTTTGAATTGTAGACATTCTCGATAGAGAAAGCAACGGGAAAGAAGTGTTACACTTTAAGTGCAAGAGATCTTTATATCGCTTGGTCATCCAATTCTCTCTTTTGGTGTTGGAAACCTTGTACTAAATCGAGGTAATGAACTTACATACATACATACATACATACATACATAGATTCATGCATACACACATAAATATATACATATTCTAAAATAGATTGTGAATATCTATCAGATTCTCCGAAGTTGTTGAGCTTAGAATGACGAGTTGGCTTGAAATTGAAGGGAAGATCAACACACGGAATTTGTCACCTGATACCCATTATAGAGCATATCTCATTACAGAAGTGGCTCATTATCGTGCCTTCGGGTTAGATGTTTTACCATGTGAGGTTTCAGTTGAAGTTGGTGAAAGCCATTCACAGGGGAAGATAAACTTCTCTCATAACAAATGTATCAAGCCATGCTTTGAGCGCACATGTCGCCCAAACGAGGTTAAAGAAGGGTTGAGATCAAACTTTGGAGAATATATTTCAAGGTTTTGTCTTGAGCGAAAGGATGGATGGTTGGAGATTGAATTGGGTGAGTTTTACAATGATGGAAATTATGAGAAAGAGGTTAAAATGAATTTAAGAGAGGTCAATGGTGTGCACTTGAAAGGGGGGCTTATTGTTGAAGGAATTGAAATTAGACCTATCTAGTAACATAATTATGCACAAAAATTGAAAACGTCATACTTGAATTGTACTAGGTTTGAACATGTATCATGCATTTGTTTTTTGGTTTGCATCTTTTACAAAACTGGCTTGTGATAGGTTAACTTTAGTAAAAAAAAATTAACTAGCTATTACAAAGAGAAAATATTATATGTATGCGTCTTCTCGATGTCAAGATTTATAAGAGGAGATTCTCGAGTCTCTGCCTAAACAAGTAGTTGATCAATTACATCTCTAACCACAGTTTTAACTAGGAGATGGGGTCCTTTAGTTACAGATCTCCATATTTCTTTACGTTTTTCTTTTGAGTTTAAAAAGTGTCACATTCTGATCTTCAGGGGATCATATTCCTCAAACACCATTAATGGGACTCGAGTAGGGCAACCCACATTGTTGGCTATATGCATCGAATACAGTTGTTGATTAGTATTAGTCATTGTTACAACGGTGTATAAGAAGAAATTTTGTCCTGTAGAACCAGAAATGCAAGAGAAAACTAATGAAATCTCAAACAATGATAATATGGTCAAATAGATTCAAAGAAAAACCACTTAGGCTTGGATACTAATTGATAAAGTAAGATAAACTAATAATGATAAGGTTTTAGTCAAAAGTTTGAAGGATTCCAGGCTCAATACATGAAGATAATCAACAAGTATTTAATGCAAGTACTAAATGATAGGAATAAATGACCGAAAGAAATAAATGAAGAACAATAAGGATTTTTGAAGGAGAACTCTAATTGATGTTGTATATTCTATAAGTTTATAAAAGGTACATGATAAATGAAGTTTGACATGCCTTATTATAGGCAATACAGAAACATGTTAAGGATGAACAAAACAAAGTGTACAACTCAAAAGGCTGATCAACAGGTGTCATAAAACTAACAAAAGATCTCATGTTGATCGTTTTCCCTCTCTTAACATTAAAGACAATTGTTATCTAATCTCAGGTGGCCAACTTTTTCGGATACACTTCTCGTCGGATAGCTTTAACTTCGATGACTTTTGTAACGTTCGAAAAATTACAAAGAGATTTTTGATATATTAAATAGATTATCTGATTAAAACCATTATTTCAATAGTCATTTAGAAACATCCTTTTAATTTAAACCATACAATATTAGAGTTAAATTTACAAAACTGCGAAAACGAACATATTCGATGCGTGTGTACGGTCCCGACGAGCTCTTCTCACGAACAACCTGAAAAATGTTAAATACACAACTTTAAGCATAAAGCTTAGTGAGTTCCCCAATATACCACATATTCCATCATACATATAATGCATCCTGTAACATCCCAAAAATTTTAGATAGAAAATTTGTTTTTAAATCATTCTCAAACATCTAATAATCATGTCAAATCAACCAAAAATGTATCATAGTGAAAATGTCACCAGAGTACAAAATCCCAAAATCACATAATGCAGAAACACATGGACGGATGCGGTACGATCATGTTGAGCCCTTCCCTTTCGAGCTAGAAGTACCTGATACATAAACTGAAAACCCTAAGCACAAAGCTTAGTGAGCTCCCCAAAATACCCCATACCCTACATACATAATAATCAATACATAATTGGGTCCATTTCACTCACTTTGGTCTCTTTCAACCGGTACTGGGTCTATTTCACCCCATTTGGTCTTTTTCAACCGGTACTAGCTATTACAAAAGTCAAACTGGTCAAAAAGTCAAGGGTCAACGGTCAACCTTTCGTTGACTTACGCGCAGCGCACGTCTTACTCTATGCAGGGCATAGAATTTTATCCAGAAAATGGCAAGAATCAGGCTACGTTGGGCGTAGCCCAGATTACACCCCGTGTATGGCGTCCCTTGCCAAACTTTATTTTAAGCACTTAATACATTAAGACCTTTCACTCAAAGCTCATATATGGTTCCTAATAGCTCCATAATGGATAAAGTTTCCAACTTTATCCATTAGGATGGTCCAAACAACCAAGATCTAGTCTTTAAGTCTCAAAGGGACCAAAAATGCATCTTTCTCAAGCTAATCCATTAAGTCCAAGTCTCCAACCTTTAGATCTAAACCAATATGATGTTTAGATGTATAAAGTTTCCAACTTTATCCATAACAAGGTCACAAACTTTCAAAATCTAAACTTTATGCACTAAATTGACCAAAAATGCTAACACAAATTGCATGGCTTAATGAATAAGCACCAAAGAACAACTTTCCAAGTCCAATAAGTCCCAAGAGTGTTCCATATAGATCAAAAGGTGATAGAGTTGCCTCAGCTCCCAAAACACAAGCTCAAGCGAGCAAAAAGTGACAAATATGACAATTAACAAAATCTATGGAACCAATGAGCAAGTTTAAAGCTTTTTACATCCTGCGTAACTTGCCTACACACCTCAGATTTATCAGATCAAAGCAATAGAACCGTAAACCAACAACAAAGCACAAGTGATGCCTTCATCGTACCTTATGCAAAATCGTGTGGGTTTGATACCATAAATGAACAAAAACTTATCACAACATCAACAACTCTATTATTAAATCAAGAACCGACTGGTTTTAATGAACATACGAGGAAACCTCACTACATAAAACTCTCTAACTTTTTACATTCAAACTTACTACAACTCTAAATCTAATCTACTCTCAAATCTGAGTGTAAGAGCTAAGAACTCTAATCTAGAAAAGATAACATGTAGGTAACGCTCAAGAGGAGAACTAAAGAGAGAAATATGAGAGAAACCCTAATTTCATGTCAGCAAATGAGTCTCATCTCAACATTAAATACTCCTAGCTGAACTTCGGGTCCAGATCAGAGCGACAAACCCGCGAGAATTCGATTGAAGTTTCATAACTTATACACTTTACAACCTTTGCCAACAATTCTTTACCAAATATAGTTTAAATTAATAAACAAAAATAATTTATTTATCTCACAATAACAAATTAATTCAACTCTTATACCAACCATTTAACAAATAATCTCATGTTTAGTTTGCCGACAACACTAATTTCAACATAATAGTTTTTATATAACTTTTTTTTCTTTTTTATTTCATCTCTCATCATATGTTTTATTTATATGTGAATAAAATGTTTATCAAATTTATATCAAACTCATTCTTTATTAACATGTGAATATACTGTGGATATAATAAACCATGAATATACACGGTTTATTTACATGTAAATAAAGCGTATGATGAGTGCTAATTTTAAAAAATAAAAATAAATTGACATATATTAATATGAATATGGATTAATAGAGAATAAAACATTATAAATTTTGATATATTAGAAAAAAAAATTCTATAAACATAGCATTCTAAAATGGGTAGCCAATATTTATTCTTACATTCCCAACATTTTTATTATTCTCCACCGAACCTAATTCCCAAAAACATCCCATGCTTTTCATTAATTCTCCTTTCTCAAATTGTGTTAGTAGGTATGGCCGCAACTTGTTAGTATTAGATAAAACTTCAAAAATGTCCTTGTGGTTTCAAAAAATTTGAAGTTTGGTCCCTAATTTACAAAACCTCACGGATCGTCCCTGTGGTTACAAAACTTTTAATGTTTAGTCCTTCCGCCTAACTCCGTTAGATTTCTACCGTTAAGTGAGGGGTATTTTCATCATTTCAATACCCGGGGACCATTTATGAAGTTTTGCTTTATTTTAAAAAAAATAAAAATAAATAATTATATAATATTAAAGGGTCTCTCTCTCTCTCTCTCTCTCTCTCTTTGTGACAACCCGGAACTTTTATCTCGCACACTTAATCAATCCAACCTAAGTGAAACTGGTTTTATTGACTTCTTGCACTGTTTGAGGGTTCGTTTAAGTGATTCTAAGCTTGAGTACAACCAAGGTTGAGGTTAGGAATGAGTCAACAAGTCGTAGACTGTCAAAACAAGGCCATACACACCTTTAGAGGGAGTGTACGGCCGTACACATGGGTGTGCGGCCGCACACACACCTCCTGGCAGCACACTCCCTCCTAGACAACATACCCACCCTATATAAAGGGTAGGCCCCTTTCCTTTCATTCCTTTAACACCTTGGGCAGCACACAACACCATTTCTCTCAAGCTTCTTCAACCACAAACCCTCCAAGGCTGCAAAAACGTGAGTAATCTATCCCTTAGCTTGTTGTACTAGAAGGACCACTTCATCTAAGCCTTGATTCATCAAAGTTTCACCATGTTCTTCATCATATGAAGGAGTACGACCGCACACCTTCATAAGGGTGGTCGTACACTCTTAAAAAAACACCCTCCAAAGTGACAGTGTGACTCCCATATTCGAGATAGACATGCCCCTAGCCTTCTTGCACCTTGAAAATGGCATTTTGGACATCATCTTGTGGGGTGTACGACCGCACACACCAGTGTACAGCCGCACACACCCTGGTGTGCGACCACACACCCATCCTAGGGCCACAAACACACTTCTAGGACACCTAACGTGCACTACAATTGAGTATATACCTAGGATACTTCATGGATTGCAAGTATGGACCTTGAAACACCCCAAGAACACCTTCCATCATGAGTGTACGGCCGCACACACACTTGGCCGCACACTCTGGCCGCACACACCTTAAAGGTGGCCATACACTCCCCTCATGCAACCCTTTAAGGTCCTAAAACTTAGTGCAAGTAGTTCCAAGTCCCTAGAGTGGTTATCCATCACATTTTTGATGGGTTTTGTGCATAACAACATTCCTATGGTGTTCATGCAACCCTAATTGCTTGGATCTAGTTTTTCTACTTTGAACATGCAATAAACCTCCAAGACTTATAAACCCTAGATCTAGCATACAATTAATCAAATAAACATGTAAACTAGGGTTTGGATCTTACCTTGATTGTTATGTAGCAATAACAATCAATTCCTTGGCTTCAGAAAGCTTAGTGCCTCAAGTGTTGCACCTCTAATGGAGTCACAAACACCACTAAGCAATTGGATGAAGAGGAGAAGAGAAGTGGCTGCCTAAAATCGT